ATATTCTCTCTTCCTACTCTTGTTTTTCAATGCAACTTATACAACCTTTCAATTTAATCTTCGAATCGGTATCATGATATATCTCGTTCGAGTTTTAACTATAACTTGAAATCTTCATTGAAGGATATCAACAGCTGGGCTGTCTGATTGGAACTGTTGTCTTTTGCGGAGTTGCCATGCAGGTTCTGCCACGTTCTTCGAGCATCCCACGAGCCGTCAGGACCTGTTCATTTGAGCCTGGCATGTGGGGCTTCCTAAACCCTACGTAGGCCAAAGTTTTAAGGTCCGGTGGTTAGAGGTTTAACCATGGTTTAACCCGGCTGGTTCACGGACCCTCACAGGGATGAACTCTAGCACTTTCTGGTGTCGCTCAGCTACAGGGCTTCCATTTCGTGTGTGCAGGTGCTTTTTCGTCTAGTCCCTCAACTTCCGAGGTCATAGGCAGGCTTGCAACAAGCCACGACACTGGCCTCCCGTAGGTGCCACATTTCGACGGTGCGGGAATGTGGCGAAATGGTTTTCATGCCTGAATCCAAGACCTTGAAGTCTATGGAGGCGCCAGCATTCTGCCAGCGAATCGGACTTCATGCACCGAAACTGCACACCTCTAGGCTAGGAGCCTGAAACCTAGGCACGACGACCCCAATGTATGAGCGAACCTCCATGGGCAAGTGGGCCGAAACAGACTGAAGCACAAACCAGAAGCCTCCAACCCGAGAAACCTAAACACTAAACGAAACTATGGACCAGAGCTTTGACTTGCGTGGAAACTTGCTCAAGAAAACACGATCATGGACCAGAGTGTCTTTTGGGTGCATCGACTTGGGGTTCCCGAGCTTCGAAGCAGGAGGGACCGAGGGCTCCACCAGAAGCTGCATGATCTCTTGGGCGGTGGCATCTTCCTGTGGCTTAATGCAAGTCGGGTGTCGGGGCTGTTGGGGTGCCAGGCGTATGGGAACATGAAGGGTGTGCTTGATGCATAGAGCTTTGCCTTTGGAAAGGCTTCACTCTGGTGTCGTGATATGCCGACAGTATTGTACAACGGGGACTCATCAGCGCATCTTAATCCGAACGCCGTACATCAACCGCTTCCGACCCAGTGATATACTACTTGGACCCGGGCCCCCCAGCAACCCTTCACTTTGGGTCTGCATACCCAGGACTACGGACAATCAGCGCTCTAGTAAAGGGTCCTTACCCTAGTTGCTGAGTTCAGAAGCCCCGGAAAGTGTACACTTTCAGCTTTACAGCAGGAAATAATATTCCAAAAAGTGTAAGGTGTATCCGCTCAGCTAGTAAGTTGCAGCTTGGAGGGGCAATTGACACTCCAACAGTAGGCCAAACCCTGCCTCAGCGCCTTCAGCAGAAGGGCCGCACCTGGACCCGGGCTGGCAGCACTCATACGCGTCGATATCTGGTACATCACAATATGAGTCGATTGGAGGGTTTGGAGATGAAGGCACAGTACCGACGATGTGGGGCATTTCCCGAACCGGTATTCTAAGACTCTGGAACTGTTCAAGCATCTTGGCTCAGAGGAATTGGGTATTGATCTGTTTCGTGGTATGGTGATTCTCAAGTAAGTGTGGGCCAGCACAACTACGGTTGATGATACAAATCCTGCACTACCCAAATTCAGGAATATCATCAACCGTAGTACCCAAAAAACCTGAAAACCTTGTAGAAAGTCTCAAAGCATTCTGGCAATACTTGATTCTTGGGGATGCAAATGCGAACAACCCCCCGGAAGCGTTAGTAACCCACAGCATCTGCAAGCAGGTTCACCCTGAACCCTACACACGCCTCCTGCTTACGAGGAAGACGTGGCAGCAGAAAGCACGGCGTCGACCTACAACCCTGCTAAACTCTATCACGTCTGGGAATCGAAACTTCGGGATTGAAAATATGCTCCCTCCAAGCGCCAATGACCCAGAAGCGTAAACAATGGGCACCCCCCAGGCCCTGAGCCACACCCAAATCCGAATGCAACCCTTCCCGAAACCCTAAATCCCCTAAACTTTCAAAATCTGACCGCCCCAAAGAAACCCTAAACCCTAAACGTTTAAAACCTGACAGCCCCAAAGCCCAAACCCTGGGGGCCTTTGTTTTTGGAGCGACTCCCGCCTAGGCTCAGGGGAAGCCTTAGCGCGGAGGGAGGAAGCGGTGATGGCCGGGGCGGGGGGTAACGTTTACTACGGGCTTTAAGGGTTTCGAAGGGTTTAAGGTATATATAGAGTTCAGAGCTTAAAGGCTTAAGGGGTTGAGGGTTTAAGGGGTTTAGAGTTTAATTAGAGGGTTTCGGGCTCACGAGTTTAAGGGTTTCGAGCTTAAAGGGCTTACTTACAGGTTGAGGGTTTGAGGGATATGGGTCTGGGGCTATCCCTCAAGAGGCTTAGTGGTGTCGCCTTTTCGGCTGTAGCTTTTTTTCTTAAGGGCTTTAGGATTTTCCTAGCTGAAGCACTTAAGGTTCAGCATGCCCTTCCTTGTGGGCCTGAAGGCAAGTAGCCCAAGGATTCCAAGCCCTATCGAAACCTTCGGGCCTGGCCCTGAACTCTGCGGGTTTGGGACTTCTTGGGGAAGAGCTGCCAGAAATTGAATGATACGGTGGATGATATAAATCCTGCATTACCCAAAATAAGGAATATACCATAATTCCCATAGTTTAGGGTCCTGAAGGTAATGCAGGATTTATATCATCAACCGTATCTCAGGGTCGAACAGGGTCGTGGCAGGGAGCCACGGTCAGCTTCCCTCGCGATGTAGGGTTGAAGAGAAACCTCTGAACCCCGCCCAGGTCCGAACGACAACCTTTAAGGACATTTGTCCCACTCAGATCTGTTGAGACCTACGTCTTCAGGGTTGAGAGCTTAGGGCTTTAGTCCCAAACGCAACCCTCGCATGAGCTGCATGACGATCTCAAAGGGTTGAGGCCGGGGGAAGGGCTCTCGAAGCTGTGGCCAAGTCCTTCATTAGGACGCCAGCCTCGAGGTTTCATCGTTAAGAGCTTCTGCAACGGCCCTTTGCGGCTGTTGCAAGGTTTGATTTTCAGTGTTGTAGGGTTGTCAGCAAGGGCTTCTCTGGTCGGTGCTTTCTTGAGGGTGTTGGGATTGCAAATGCTGTGTTGAGGACGGGGTTTGGAGTCTGCAGAACACTGGCTTCGGGAAAGCGGGAAGGTTGTCAGCTCTTTGACAGTTTGTTGACTCATCTCATTCTGCGTTTGCAACGACTTAAATTGTACTTGCGGAAGGTAAGGTACCCCAAACAGAACAAAATGCACTGCTAAACCTGGGAGCTGCAGAAACTACGGGACACCAACTACATGAAATGATGCTTCACAAAGTCAGGTGGGAGCTTCCGAAAGTCGGAGATACCTTATTTTGGGGTCCTTATAATAAGGATCCTACAAGTTAGGATACGATGTTAGGGTCCCCTATTTTCGGAAACTCCCAGGTGGTCCTCTCATCCCAAACAGGGGGAAGAAGCTCCTCTTCGGGTGCCGAACCGACTAGCAAGGCGTGAGGCTCGTTTTTGCTTCTACACTTTACCTACAGTCTCCATTGTAGTTCCTTTTGTTTGTTAATTAACCAGTTTCATAGTTAGGACCCTTTAATGCAAGAATTGCTTAAAAAAGGAGCCACAATGAAGACCACACGCTAGGCTCCCCAAAAAGGCGAACTCAGATTCACACCCTCCGGCATTCCATGCATAAATAAAATAAATAAATAACTATGTATATATATATATGCATGCATATGTGTATCTATACTTGTATGTATGTATGTATGTATGTATATATATATATATGTATATGCGCATATGTATATGTATATACGTATACATATATATGTATATGTATATGTATATGTGTTCATATACAAATAATACATACAAAAAAATGATACGATACATGTACATATATATATGTATATAATGTTAGACCGTATACTAGAGAAACATGTTATATTGTGTTATGTCTCTCTTCTTCAACAACCGGGCCACAAAAAGTTCAAACTTTCTAAGATAGGGCGAATGTATAAGGCCAAAAAGTTTAAAGTTCCTCCTTTCACCATCTAAGATCTTGTATTGCAATACACTAACCTTATCAAACGATAGCATAATATGTATACCTGTGCATAGATTACTACCTACATCTCTCTCTAGATCTATACATCTATATACCTACATGATATATCTGTATATATTCTGTGTTTCAACTGTGCAGTATATACTATAGAAGTTACAACAAGCTTATGATGATAAATATACTATATGCTATACCTTAAATGGTATTCGACCGGCAAAAAACCTGAAGCTGGTGGAAGATCCTCAGCCCAAACTCCTACAGCTGCGCAGCCCTGAAACCTGGGGAGGCCCCACGGCTTTTGCCCAAAACCCTCTGATCCTGGATCTGTTTGCCGTTAGGGTTTCGGGTTTTGGGGTTTGGGTTTAGGGATTAGGCTGCTAAAGCCCAGAGGCCTAGACCTGAAAACATCTAAAGACTTTAATGGCCTGGTCCTCACGTTGGCGCTGCATAGCCTGCTGCGTTCGCTGCCGCTGCAGCTCCTGCATACGCCTTAGCAAGGCCGAGGTTGGTCCTTTGGTCTACTGTTGACGAGTGTAATGTTTAGACTTTAGACCGTGTCTCATCTAGACTGTTTCCTTCCTGTCAGTACACATTCCACCCGAATTTGACCACACGCGCCACGGGCCCATCACCAAGAATCCCCTGCATTGCCGAACGCATGCTTTGGAAAACGGTGCTTGCCTTGGCAATTTAAGAGTCTACAGGCATCTTGTTCTAATTGCCCAATAGAATATTTTAGGGTCATGCGAGAGCCTAATTCAGCATTCAAAACCCCAACTTCTTAAACAGATTCCCACAGACGGTACTTAGTCTTGTTATACTCGGCCAAGGTTTCGGCATAGCTTCGGCTGGGACCCTACGGAGCGTATTCAGACCTGCCAAGATGAAAACGACGACGACTACGACGACGACTACAACAACAACAACTGCTACTACTATTCTTACTACTACTACTACTACTACTACTACTACTGCTACTGCTAATGCTACTGCTACTGCTACTGCTACTGCTACTGCTACTGCTACTGCTACTGCTACTGCTGCTGCTGCTACTACTAATAAAAATAATACACTTATTACAACAACGACTATTACTACAGTTATTACTACTGCTACTCCTGCAGCAGCAGCTACTGCTCCTATCGGGATCCCTTGGGCCTCCTGTTCTCAGACTGCGGCCGCATGCTCTGCCGCGCGATGTTGCAAGGGTCCGGGCCCTTCTCGATCTCCTTCAGAGAGGGCTTTCCGTTTAGTTTAGGGCTTTTTCTGTGGAGCTCCTTTTTCCCAAAGTCTACAGCAGCTAGTTTGGGGTTTGGGGTTTAGGGTTTGGAGCTTAGGATCCGGGGCTTGGGGTTTGGGGCCCTTTTCGAGCTCCTGAGAGAGGAATTTCCAGTTAGGATTTAGTAAAACAGGAGCCTATACATGATTAGATTAGGGGTCCTTCATAATAGACTGATGATCAAGGAACCCTAAGGAATACGGAATAATATTGGTATCTAGGCTTCTGGAATAGATGTAGGGTTCAGGAGGTCTGGGGTCAAGCGGACAGGGGGTTTCAAGGTTTAGGATTTTGGGCTTTTAAGGTTTAGGATTCTGGGTTCTAGGGTTCAGGATGTAGCTTTAGGATGTCTTTAGAATCCTTGGCAGCAGGCTCGCAAGGGCGCTTGAAGGCAAAACACTACCTAATACTGACACCGACAACCTCTGCATAGAAAGGGTGGTGCTGACTAAGGCGTGTCTGCCCGGAAAGCCTTATGTGTTGAGATGCATGTGCGCTTAAACAACAATTCTGGCAGAAGATTGGGTGGGGAAGCCCGAATAAACATGCAACGAAGAGACTCGGAAGGTCGGCCTTAGGCTTCTTCAGATTTGGGCTCAGTTAGCCCACCTTCCGAACCACTACGCAAACGACTTCGGTGTCTTTCGGGATCACGGCTGCTTCCTTGAGGTGTCTCGCAGTAGTCCAAGTTTGGGGTCAGAAGCTGTGTGTTTGAAAATAGGGTCTTTGCGGCTTCAATGCATGACGCTGAACCCTCAGGGCCCTAAGTTAAGCCGTGTAGTTGTGGATTGCCGCGATGGAAATTCTGTCCAAAATCAGTACCTGAATCGGTTCATACCTCAACTTCCTACCTGCAAGCTCCTAGAGCTTGAACCCTGAGGCTCTGCAAAAAAACCATAAAAACTTCGAAACCCTGGAGCCACAGAACAAATTAACGCTAAGCCCTGAGGAGCTTCGATACTAGAACCGCATTCCGAAACACCACAGAAGAGTTTAGGGTTAGGGTTTAGGGTTTAGGAATCATGTTCCTGATTTTTTGACCCCTTTATTGACCTTTAGCCCTAAGCCCGAAACCCTATACCACCAAAAACCCCCAAGTTGAACCCTAAACCCCAAACCCCCAAGCCCTAAACCCTAAATCCCCAAACCCTAAACCCCAAATCCCCAAACCCTGAAACCCTAAACCTTTAATCCCCAAATCCTAAGCCCCAAAAAGCCAAACCTAAACCCCAAATCCCCAAACCCTGAAGCCCCAAGACCCCCAAGTCGCCAGGGATCCTTCTTGGCTGCTTCGAGAGCGATCTGGACCCGCTGGAAGGCCTGACACCGGAGGTGAGGCTCCGGTTGAAACTCTGAGCTGCGGTTGAATTTTTGTATTGTTTATAGTTTTGTAATGGTGTATAATGGTTAGGGCTTAGGGCTTAGGTTTTTGTTGAACGCCTTTTCCAGCTGCAGAAGAGAGCCAACGGGGCAGGCAAGTCGGCAACTCGTGGCTGAGCCTTGAGGATTTAGGGCTTTGGGTGTCTCATCTCATGCTGGTGACTCTCTTCGTGCCGGGGGCACGTTTAAGGTATCAGGTCGGGGGTGTCCACGGTATGATGAAACGCTTCAGGCTTAATATAGGGGCCTTCATAATTAGAATAGGGTTTTGGGGCCATTATGCCGTACTTATACAAAGGGAAGCCCCAAAATGGCATAGGTAATTTCTTCGGCCCCTATATTAAGGAAGCATGTGCAAACTTTCGCACGCCCTGTAAACGCGCAGGAATCAGTGAGCCCGAAATAACCTTGCCAGCAGTGATCAGCGAGGGAGCTCCTAATCTCCCAAGCCCTGGGTATCGAGACCCACAAACCCTAAACTCCTGTACCCCACCAGAACCCCCCGAAGGGCTCGAATATTTCTCATTAAGAGGTAAGGTAATTTGTGGCTACAATGAGGGGCAGTTGGGGGTCTAGGCAAACCCGAAACCCTAAACCAAAACGCTAAACCCTTCGGGACTGGAGATATGCTGACCAGTGAAGACACCTGTTAGAACTAGGAGCCAGAGGACTAGAAGCCTAGAACCGGTTGAAGCTCGAAAAAATCCACAAGAGGTAAAACCCCTGAAAGGTCCCAAACCGCACAAAATTAGCTACACAGAGGCTGTAGCTTAGGTGTCGAATCCAGGCGTTCAACCCCAAATGCGTAAACCCGGTGATACTGAAGAGCCCTCTCACCCAGGTGAAATCATTGAACGGCGACCCCCTCGATGATGAATGGCAGCCCTGGACAGCTTCAAAACGCATTGACATCGAATACGAGGGACTTAACAACTCGAGGATGGTTGGACAACTTTTTGAGGAGTATTAGGGAAGATGATGGCTAACTATCCCCAGAAAGGACCCTGTAAACAATCTTCAAGGAACCCTAAATTCTAAACCCTAAAACCCCTAAACCCGTAAACTTCCCTAAACCCCTAAACTTCCCTAAACCCTCAACTCTAAACCCCCCGGTTTAGGGGATCTTCATCCAAGATTCTCAGAGCCCCGGTGCCTCTTCACAGGCGACTCTGCCGCCAGCGGACGCTTCGGCCTCTGCACCTCTGGGAAGGGAGTTTCCCCAAAAAAAGGGGACCCCAAGAAAGTACCCTAAATAGTTTACGGGTTTAAGGTTTAGGGTTAGGGTTTAGGGTTTAAGAGTGAAATGGTACCAGGACCCTCCTTGTACCCTCAAATGGTGGTATATGGTCCCAAATAAGGGGCGTTTAGGGTCTAATAGAGGGTAGATGGAGGGTCTAGGTTGGATCCTAGGACCCCCAGACAAGCCTCTCTTCAACTACCGGGTTCTTCTTACGGACTGTAAACTAAGTTAACATAATTCAAAGGAATCTATAGAAAATTATATGGTGTCTTTTTTTGTGGTAACTGAGACTACATCCGCTCTCCCCAGAGACTCCCCAAACCCCTTAGTTAAGGAATCTTCCTTAAATCATAGTAGGAAGCCAAATAGGAATTAAACCGCGTCTCTTCACATGTCAGAAAGCACCATTGCCTTCTACTTTATTTTGTAGGTCCAAACGATACGTCATGATATGCTTCGGCCTCTGCACCTCTGGGAAGGGAGTTTCCCCAAAAAAAGGGGACCCCAAGAAAGTACCCTAAATAGTTTACGGGTTTAAGGTTTAGGGTTAGGGTTTAGGGTTTAAGAGTGAAATGGTACCAGGACCCTCCTTGTACCCTCAAATGGTGGTATATGGTCCCAAATAAGGGGCGTTTAGGGTCTAATAGAGGGTAGATGGAGGGTCTAGGTTGGATCCTAGGACCCCCAGACAAGCCTCTCTTCAACTACCGGGTTCTTCTTACGGACTGTAAACTAAGTTAACATAATTCAAAGGAATCTATAGAAAATTATATGGTGTCTTTTTTTTGTGGTAACTGAGACTACATCCGCTCTCCCCAGAGACTCCCCAAACCCCTTAGTTAAGGAATCTTCCTTAAATCACAGTAGGAAGCCAAATAGGAATTAAACCGCGTCTCTTCACATGTCAGAAAGCACCATTGCCTTCTACTTTATTTTGTAGGTCCAAACGATACGTCATGATATGCAATTTATGGGCGCCCTGAGAAAAGCAGATTGTGGCAATCGTAAGTCGTAGGTTTTGCACAAGGCAGGGTTGCAAGCCGAATAGACCAAATAGTTACGGGATTTCGAGCTTCTGGCATCTACTTCTGGCAGAATTATGGGGGGTGGGGGTTAGGATTGAGGGCGTAGGGTGTAAGGGTGTAAGGGTGCAGGATGCAGCTTTGGGGGGATTTGAACATCTAGGCTTTAAGCTGATGGCTTGGATCCTGGCTGCGCTTGTCAGGGTGGAGAAGGCGCATGATCTGGCGGTAGCGGGACCTGAGCTGCAAAAACGCTGGGTCAGGCTCGGGTTTCCGATGTTTTCGTATTGTCCATAAGCCCTTATAGGAGTTTCCGAAAATGAGGGGATGCCTTATTTTGGGGTCCTTATAATAAGGATCCTATTATTTGGGTTACTATATTGGGGTCCCCTATTTTCGGAAACTCCCTTATCTCTTCAGGGCTTCGGCCGAGGAGTGCGGGTGGAAGCTTCTGTGGGCTTTGTCGTGTGGGTAGTTGTCAAAATTGGGGGCCCTTTTTTGGGTACCCTAAATATTAGGTGCCGTATCATATTAGGGACCCAAAAGGGACCATCATTTTGACAACCACCCATGTGCAACTAATGGCCACCGCGCTGTCAAGCGGGTGCAGGGATTGTTAGCTTTTTTTGAAAACAGTGCTTATCAGGATCACTTTTTTTGAGAAAGCAGGGTTCATGGGGGGTTTCAGAGTTTCGGGCGTAGGATTCCAGGGTTTAGGGCCTTGGGGCCTAAGATCTTCGACCCTCAACACCCCTAGCGCTAAAGCCTTGAAGCCCTTTCATCAATTTCGAAGCATGAAGCCTGCTCTGTGATTTAGGGTTTAGGGGTTTAGGGTTCAAGGGTTTAGGGCTAAGGGGTTCAAGCTTTAGAGTGCTATGGGTTGGGCCTTTCTGCTTCTGTGTCACCCTTGGGCTACAGGAGTTTGGGGAGGTCGTAGGTCTTAATTTGGGCATTCGGTCTTGAGGAAGTTGGGGGGCTTACGTAGAAGGTCTCAGCTTTAGCACCCGGGGTCTTTCGGACATGGGTGATGTCATAATGACATAATGAGGCCCAACTTCCCTCCAAAACCCAAAACTGTTTTCAGTAGGATGGTCGCAGGCTTGTGCCGATCTGGGCGGAAGGCTGGACGACGGGGAGCTCCAGCTCCATGTCGCAACCTCAAAACAGGTACTACGAAAGGCTGTTGGCATGTTGCCCAAACGGGTTTCTAAACTCATGTCGTCCTTGTATGTAAAGGTCAAGGTTCGTCTTGGCATCAAGTTCTTGGAAATGCGCGAGACCTTGTTCTGCGAAAAATTCCGCCTGCTGCCGTGATCTAAAGCAAATTACAAACTGAGGTCACGCAAACCTAGGTCTGAACAAACCATTGAACGTCTCAAAGAACACTACCGACAATAAGCTGGTAGAAGAACCATCTTCAGCCGATCCCAAGCCGAGCGCTGTTGAGCCCGAACAAGACATATGGGAATTTACGAAATTGAGGGGTACCTTATTTCGGGGTCCTTGTAATAATCATCCTACTATTTGGGGTGCTATATTAGGGTCCCCTATTTTCGGAAACCCCCATATTATGAATCTGAGGGCCCTGCCCAAGCCGAGGATCTCCCGAACATCGTCCGCAGGAGCACGGCTGCCATAAACAATTCGATTCGGGCTTTGAATCTCAGTTCTGCCGACAAGCTTGCATGCCAAACAGCCGGGTCGAACAAAGCGCACTAGTCGGGGGACGGGTGTTTCTTCCGATTCCATGGAACCTCGAGGTCGGGTGCTGTTGTTCCGAAGATGCCCGGTTGCATGAAATTTTGAGACGGAGGGGTTCGGCAAAGCGTCAGTCGATCATTGACCAAAGAAACTAACGGGAAACCCGGCAATGATGTGCACGCAACAAACTTTCCGACAACCTGATGCAGGATGCCTGATGCGGGAAACTTCGGATGCCAACGTCTCTTCTCGGTCCATACTCGCCGGAGACCTTGCGCGCTTGGGTCTTGCAGTTTTATGACTATGTTCGGTGGCCTGCATACTTGGAAGGGCTCGCAGAAGAACTTGATGCAATCGCTTTGATAAAGGACGCCGATCTCTTATTGTGAGATGGTCAGTTAGCCGAGGTACTAACTACTTCAAGCAGGAGCGGTGGCTTCTTGGTCAGGTCAGCAATTCTGTGCATGGGCGTATCCTTTAGAATACACATGGCACGTCAACCAAACATGTCATCGTTTCGCTTCACGCAATCGCCAAGCAACATTCATATTATTTTGCACCAAGAGCTCATCAAACTCCGGCAACGAAAGTTTGTACGGGTGCAGTAGCAGGTCAATAACACAGAGGTGGGGAAGAGCTTTCGGGCACCAGCACAATGTGAAGCATAGCTCCAGCAACTGCTAACTTGGGCCGTCCGTTTCTTTGTGCTTTCTTCGTGGAACTTCGCGGCAAGCGTGACTCCGTGACTCGCAGTCTTTTCCTGCAGTTAATATCGTTGTTCATGGTTTATTTAGCACAGAGCGTCCGCGGAGAACTTGAATGTTGGGGCTATGGGGTTTACCTTTAATGAAGTCCACGGTGCTACCTGGGCATGACACAGCTCGGTGTCAGCCTGGAACACCTCTAGAGGATAATCCTGCGGGCCGTCTTCAGATGTCAGGCGTCCCGCAAAATCTTAGAAAAATGGGCAAGGAAAGTGAAGACATGGGGCGCAGACCAAGTGCACAGGCTTGACGCCAACCTCCGATTCAGTCATGTCGAAAGCATAGAACCTAGAGCCATCAACACCCTGTCCGAAGTCAGAAATCCTGCTGCAATCGCGACGATTCGACACTATGGTCCAGGGTCAAGCGGCGTAGTTTAGGGTACGGAGTTGGGGCTTAACGCTGCCGAAGACCCGAACACAGGGGCCGGGTGGATTCGATCTGGCTAGAGGTAAATCCAACTACGAGAATAATGTAGGGGCCGTAATAATTAGAATGGGGTTTTGGGGCCCTTATACCATCCTTATAATAAGGAACCACCAAAATAGTATGGGTAATTATTAAGGCCCCTACATTAAGCGTTTTCACGGTAGTTCTTGAAGCTTCTTGCATAAACGCACTTTGGAGGAGCGCATCTTAGGGTTTAGGGTTTAGGGTTTGGGGCTTCGGCTGCCGTGCCACCAGTGGCGCGGATGAACAATTTTGAGATCTTTTGGCAGGCCTCGAGTTTTCCAACAGTTCCTAACTTTGTAAACGTATACAGTATACATGCAGCTACGTTTAAGCTCGTAGCCGCATGTATGTAAAACCGGCTTGAGTCACGTATGTAACCATGTATTCATCTATGTGCCCATGGTTACAGTATCTTCGCTGCTCCTAGGTGGTTCCGCATATGTACCGGCATGGAGAATTCCGATATTCCATCAAGATGGATAGACGCATGCACAGAGGTGTATATATATATATATAATACAGATATATAGAGACACATGGCTACATTGAGTTCCAAGATTCCAAGATTGCTTGAAACTCCTGGAGGTTATACTGCAAAAACAACAGTCGGTACAAACCTAACCAAACTTCCCGCATATGCAGGCATGTGCAGCACTCTCAACCTTCCCCAAAGACACATGTGTAGGTATATGGATACATATCTCGGACCAGGAACTACATAGGGTACAAAATGCCAACTGGCCTACAGTCAAAATGCTGATAGAGCTACCGAGCCAGGTCAATCTAGGGCTAGAGGAGCACATCTGCTGATGTGTGCCTCTATATAACTGTGTGGATTCTATATTGGTGGATGACGATGGTTCATTGAATGGTATGTACACTAACAACCTACACTTGCACTATTTTGGATCTTGTTTATATTTTGAGTTTTGACGGCAAAAGACCACATGTATAAGTACACTCAGAGGAACTGTTCGACCTTGCTGCTGTCACTGTCGCTGTCGCAGTTCTTGTTGTTGTTGTTGCTGCGCTGTTGCGGGTGTATTGTCTGACAGATTAGCCGGTATCCTCAAATGTGTCTCCAGTAAACCCCGACAAATAAGTACCACAAAAAGAAACTAAGCCAAATCCACACGTCGGAATCACGACTGTAGTGGAGCCTTCATGCTGTTTCTGGCACGAACAAACGCAACACCAACACACACACACACACACAAACAAACAGACAACACTCAGACACACAGACACAGACAGACACACACAGACACACGCAGAGACACTCGAAGACACACAGAGACACACAAAGACACAGACCACAAGGAATCTGGGTCTCGCGACGCTTGGCCCTCCAGTGGCGCAGGGCCGAGGCGATTTGCCTCGGCGATGATGTCGTCCACGAGGGCCTGAATCATCGGTCAGGCTCGAGCGGGGCAGTTTCACCTTGGAAAGTTAGTGCATAGGTGTATAAAAAAATAGACTTTTTAGGATCTTTTAAGAAACCTATGGACTGATTCAAAACCCTCTTCTCATGGGCCAAGCTACTCTTGACCAGGATCTGGTATGAGAGTGGGGGAGTGGGGGGGGGGATGGCGCTTCGGGGCTCCTAGAGTTGCCGCACAGATAAAGATTGAGGGATTGGCTCTCTTCTTCAACAACCGGGCCCCCCAAAAAAATCAAACTTTCGAAGATGGAGCAAATATATAAAGCCAAGAAGTTTAAAGTTCCCCCGCTCACTATCTAAGTTGGGGGCGTTGCAATGGCGGGGATCCTTCGCTCAGGGGGCTGCAGAACCCGCGATGAGATGTGTTGAAATGAACACCGCGAAACTACCTATCCCCGGTGCGACACACCCAAGTCACGGTGGTGCTGAACACCTGGACCCGACCCTAAACTGCCAACGGGTTCTACAACCCGAAACTCACGAAGCATCCTGTCTCATCTCTCTTTGGCTTCGGCTCGAAGCTTGGGGCCTGGGGCTTGCTAGCAGAACCTCCCCACTCCCTAACAGCTTACTGCCAGTTCGGCTCTGGATCAGGAGGTAGCTGGGAAACCTCAAGCTAAAGCCTGAACCCTGATCCCTAAGCCCTGAACCCTAAGCCCCAAACGCTGAACCCAAACAGTAAACCCTAAACCCCAATCTGAAACCCCTAAGCCCCTAAGCTCCAAAGTCCAAAGTAGTGCTTGATGGGAGGCCAAAAGGGGGGCTTAAGTTTCTTGGGGTAGGGATTCCTTAATATGAACCCTATTATTGGGAACCCTAATCCCTACTAAAGCCCCGAAGGCTAAAAACCCCTTTTGGCCTCCTATGAGTCTTTAAAGTTCATGCCTCCTGGCCCAAGATGAGTCTGCCCAGGGCGGCTCCGAACGCTGGTGGTGGCTCGTCGTCCTCCGGGCTCTCTTTCGTCTTGTGTGAGATGCAGTGTTTTCGGGCTTGGGGTTTGGGCTTAGAGCTTCAAGCAAGTAGTGAATGGGTTTGGGGTTTAGGGTCGACGCTTTCGTATAGTATTGCTGTTCAAAACGCATGACTGCACATAGGTGTGAGAAGCTATCAGGTGACGAGCAGTCCTTCCAGTGATACCGAAAGTAGGATATGCTCGCACACTGTGCAGATGGATGTAGAGTGCATCTTCACCAGCAGTCAGTCGTTTACATGTATATATGTATGCATGTAACTTTCATGTATATATAAGTATATATAAGTAAATGTCCATGTATGTGTATGTGTGTATACACATATATACAGACTCAAAGACATGTGCGCACATATATGTAGACGCTCATTGATACGCATACCTGTGCATGTTTATGGAGAGGTTCGTGTGTCTGCATGTGTGTGTGCATAACTGCATGCATTCGAGCATACTTACAAGTGCACAAACGACTGTGAATGCTGCATGCATACGTATGTGCGGATAAACAAACAAAACACACCAACAAACGAAAACGAACAAACGAACAAGCAAACTAATAAACATAAAAAAAGCACGCGTGCATGCATACATGCACACATTCATACATGCATACCAGCATACATGAGCACATACACAAGTACTCACGTACATACGGGACTACATGGATACGCAAACATACAAACATAATTGTCTGAATAACCCCGCATGTGCATACAAACATTTCTACATGCATACTTACGTAGTTGCACAGCTACTTAGTTACTCAGTTGCTTAGATACTGCCTTCCTTGCTTAAATACTTGCAGAACTGGTTAACTACCGAATCCAA